AGAGTCAGACCCCCAGCATGATTGCTTTCTCAAAAATCGAAGAGACACTGCTCTCCGAATCTCGAGAGTCAGACCCCCAGCATGATTGCTTTCTCAAAAATCGAAGAGGCATCGTTCTCCGAATCTCGAGAGCCAGATACCACAGACCACTTTTTCAAAGTGCTCTGACAGAGTTAAAACATGTGAAACTGGCAGCTCCCACTACCGTGCTATGACCAAGCAGGGTAAAGGAATAACATTACTACTTGTTGTTAGGGAGAGACTCCTATATATGTCGACCTCCATCCCCAACGGACAGGCAGACCTGCAAAAATGCTCAACCCTTCATCATATCTGAGAGGGCACTCCCAACAAAGCCTTTCGAAATATTCAGCTTTCTTTCCTCCCGATAATACCTCTGCAAACAAGCTATACTAGAGCAAGAATATCTCATATCATCAGGGTTAAAAGCAAGAGTATCCCATATCATGTTTTTTCCCTGTTTTTTCTTTTGGCCTTGTTTTTACCTGCAAGACAAGGAGAAAGAGAGCAATCAGTCAGCACTTGGAATCAAGCTTCCAGCCAGGAACTGACTGCCTGGAACCCCTTACCTGATTACTTACCTGGCATTGCTCTCGAGTACTCATCTTCAACATCTTATGTTTCCAGGGAAGATTCCGCATCTGCTTGAGGAACAGATAGGGCAAGTGCGAAGGATACAAGGAAGCATGTGGAGACAAGCGTAACAGCACACGTGCCGATACATCCATTACTCTGTCAAAAGCAAAAGTATCCCATATCAGCAGGGTGGAACGTACTCTAGATTTGATGGACTTGTTTTGACCCTCAAATTCTTCAGTCGGCCTTATACTCTGGAGGAAACCAGAAAACCCTCCAGCTCAGTTCAAGAATAAGCCTGTGGAAAGTTACTTCTTCAAAAGCAAAAGTATCTCATATCATCTCTTCTCATCTTTTCTTCTCTTTATCCTTCATGCTGCTGCAAGATGGGGAGAAGGTGAACAATCAGTCGGAGCTCTGATTGCTTACCTTGTCTGTCACCTCTTTCAGCAGACCCCCTAGCTCGGCGACTTGGGGGACTCCTACTACATGGTTTGTATCGCGCTTGACCAAGCCTGAAACTACAAGTAAGCTTCAAGTGAAATTGATACATTACCTTGTGCATCTCCACCAGTTAAAGATACCACCCCTGGATGGAGGAAGAGTACTTCCAGAGAAGATGCCACATCTACCTATGAGACAGATAAGGCAAGTCAAGACGACATCCACACTCCGATACTTAGAAGTTTCGTGATTACGAGATCATTCTCCCACAATATTTCCTAATGTCATTTGTACTAAATCATTCACTCGTACTCACTAAAGGAGAGCTTGAACCTATGTACTTGTGTAAACCCTTCACAATTAATGAGAACTCTTCTATTTCCGTGGACGTAGCCAATCTGGGTGAACCACGTACATCTTGTGTTTGCTTTCCTATCTCTATCCATTTATATACTTATCCACACTAATGACCGGAGCAATCTAGCGAAGATCACAAAAAGCGACCGTTTTCGTTACCTAGGATCTATCTTGCAAGAGAACGGAGAATTAGATGGAGATCTCAACCATAGAATACGAGCTGGATGGAAAGAGTGCATCCGGCGTGTTGTGTGACCGTCGTAGGCCACTGAAGCTCAAGGGAAAATTTTATAGGACGGCAATAAGGCCAGCGATGTTGTATGGCAGAGAATGTTGGGTGGTGAAGCATCAACACGTACACAAAATGGGTGTAGCGGAGATGAGGATGCTTCGTGGGATGTGTGGGCACACGAGAAAGGATAAGATTGGGAATGAGGATATCCGAGGTAAAGTAGGAGTAGCCGAAATTGTAGGAAAGATGAGAGAAAATCGGCTCTGGTGATTTGGACATGTGCAAAGAAGGCCGACTGACGCTCCGGTTCGAAGATGTGACTACGGGACAGAGGTTCAGGGCCGAAGGGGTAGAGGAAGACCTAGGAAAACTTTGGAAGAGACTCTAAGAAAAGACTTAGAGTACTTGGATCTAACGGAGGGCATGACACAAAACCGAGCGCAATGGCGTTCTAGGATTCATATAGCCGACCCCACTTAGTGGGAAAAGGCTTTGTTGTTGTTGTTGTTGTTGTTGTTGTTGTTGTGGACTTGATTGTGTTTGGTGAATTAACAGAGTTAGGACGAAGAAGCGGCTGATATATCCGGGAAAGCAATCGAGCAAGAAGAAGAAGAAGAGAGTTCTATCGGAACTAAAATCCAAGGATGGAAGTGAGAAGTCTTCTCATCCCGAACAACATCAGGATGCTCCTGAGGAAGCAGAAGTAGAGAGAACTGTTAGAAAATCTACAAGAACTTCAGTGGTTGTCCGTCAAGCTGAGAGGGACGCAATACGTGCGGCTTTGCAAGCAACCATGAAGGTCAGTTTTCAGTAGGTCTTGAATGAACTTGAAATTCTGATTGAAGATGTGGTGTTTATTGTTTATGAGATCGCTGTGTTGATGGACACATTATACTGTTTGTAATGGATATCAATTTTGGTTTTCATCAGCCGATTAAGAGGAAAAAGGAAGGTGAGGAGAAGAGGATGACCCAAGAAGAGATGCTCTTAGAAGCAGCTCAAACAGGTCTGGACTTTATGTCTCAGCATTAGTAATTACTAATTAGTAAGTGACGTGAATTGCATGGTACTTGTTAATGTTTATTCGGAAGTGAGGCTGTAACTAAGCTTGATTTGTTACCTGTAAATCTACAGAAATTATGAACTTGAGAAATTTGGAGCGTGTTCTAGCAAGGGAGGAAGAAGTAAAGAAAAGAGCAATTGTACATAAGGCTGTCTATACTGGTCCACAAGTACGTTATTTCTCAAAAGATGGTAAGCTTTCAGCATTACACTATTTTGACCAAATTTGTTTGTTCGGAAACAAGAATTACTGTCCGCATATGCAGATTTTGTTATTGTGGCAATATCAGTTTCCTAGAAAGAAATCTAAGTTACATTTCCTTCAGGCCGCTCATATCTGGAATTCAGTAGAGGATTGTCATTTCAGTCAGAAATCTCTACCGCGCCTGTTCCCTGTAAGTAGTAGTTTTATGAATGTTACGTGTTCAGGGTTTTTTTAAAGTTAGGTATCACAACTGTGGTTTTGATGCATGTACTTTTATTCCTTTTTATTTCCAGACCCTGAGAAAGCTGTCTGTGCTGTTACTGGTTTACCTGCCAAGTAAGTGCTTAGGTTTCCAAGTAGTTGTTTAGACAAGCAGCTATGAATGCCCATAGAGAATGTGAGGAGTGATGTTTAAGGTGCCTATCTGACCATCTCGTTTCATTTGATGCTTTAGGTACCGTGATCCAAAGACAGGGCTACCTTATGCAACAAAAGAAGCTTTTAACATCATTCGCCAACGGTATGGCCAAAATTCATTGTTTCACTATCGGCAGGCAATAGGCATTCACTTTTAATGAGCAAATATTTCGATCTTGTGATATAGTTTCCTGCTTTTTAGTTATATTTTATATCTAATATAGATTCCCTGATATGTTTTTGGTTGTAAATTTCCAGTTTTCTACAGGAAAGTGGTAGGGTCAGAAAAGAAATGGACCTGGGTGACTTGTATGATTCACTTTCTGGTAAGGGGTTTTCGGCAAGGCAGAAGAGATCCGTGGCGTCCAATAACATGGATGTGTCGTACTCTCAATATTTTGCACGCTTCCGCAGAATTCCAGCTCTTGAAAGCGAATCTTCTGATTAGGTTCCATGGTAATCTGAAGAGTATCTGTTGAATCTGATATTGTTCTCATACGATGCCCTTGCTCAGTGTCTCATGGTACTCTCGGAAGGATTTGTTTGCCGTGTGCGATTTTATAAACGGAAGAAATGTTTTACGTTTTTGGGCAGAGGCCTAATCGGCGTGGTACAGAAGAACTAGGATATAAATTGCTCAATGAAAGACGATAAAAGCTCTAGGGAGAAGTTGCACAAGTATTTCTCTGCAATTAGGTTGGCAATAGGGTTGTATGGTGCAAGATTTGATCGTTTTAGCCGGGTGCCTATGTCCAACTACTGTTTTAGAATGAAGAGCCGGCGAGTTGCAACAGACGGAAGCAGTGTACTATGCGATATGTTGCAGATGTTGCATTGCATTCTATGTCACGTTGATCATCTAAAGCTCTATTTTTTCGGTGTATTTTGTTGCCGATGGAGTCTTTTCATGCTAAGAGTTCATGTTTTCCAGTTTTGGCCTTTTATAAATTTGGTCACTTCAAGGGGATTAGACACTCGGTTCGTACATGTTTCTACTATTTCATTTTTCCGACTAGCGAAAAGTGTAACTAAAAAAAAATTGGAAGTGGTGGATTATGGCAATTTTCTTCAATTTACAGCGTTCCGGGTCTTGAATACTAAGATTAGTGATGAATATCGCTTGTAATTATAAAACAATACAGATTGTGGTGACACATGACAACCAGAAGCTAAAACAATGCAACCAGAAGCTAGCTAAGCTGGAAGAGTTCACGGTGTAATCGGAAAACTGACCTGAGAATTTCAATACGGATGACGACATAAGCCGAAAAGGGAAACAATAACAAGAAACTGCGACAAATGGAGTTGTTTCGACTCTCCAATGAAAGCGAGATGCCTTGTAAAATCACGATAACTTATCCGCTCTCTAGATTAAAGCAAACAGAAGCACAAAAAATTGCTGATCAGTGATCACCATAAGGCCATGTAATTTGTTTTCTCAACCTTCCTAGTAGGGAAAAAGATGTACACATTGGCATGATTACACAATTCTTACAAGAACTAATACAGAAGGCACTATTTACACGGACACGAAAGCAAAGAACAAGACTTTGTATCAAAAATTGAAGTAAAAACTCTTGTGCTTTCTCATTGCTCTATGTATGTAATCTAAAAGTCTTACCATACACGATTTTCCCCCACATCTTGGGTTTCTCTTCATTTCTCATCAACTTCAACATCAATAATCTACGGCTCTGACCTTGACGAAGAAGGGCCTCCTCTACCGTCTCTTGAAAAGAAGTCTGATTTTGGATGCCACACAGTGTTTCCACAGCTTCCACAATGGATTACTCGATTCTTGTAACCAACAAATTGCCTCTTACAAGCCGGACAAGCACCCTGTCCAAATTCCAAATTTCGCACAACAAACACACTTAGCCATTCGAATATCCATCTGATTGATTGTGATAAAAAGTTAAAATTTCCATACAACTCAATCGATTTAGTTGCAGACTAGCAGATCACTAACATTAACACAAACATATGCAACCAGTAATACCTTAATAACAAGGTTGTTGGCAACTGCTCCAATGAGAAGAGGAGCGGCAAATGGAAGCACCCACGGAGCGAAAATCAATATCTGAAAAAGCCATCCGGATAATGCAAACCACAGGAAGAAAATTGTCTTAAAAACACGAAACAAAAAAGCAAATAGTTGAACACGAAATGATCAACAAGACAAAATATTTGCATAGTTTCGGAATGTGAGCTCATATGCTTACCTCAAAGCTTCTTCCCAATGGGGTCTCCATGTATATATCTACTTGAAGGCTTTTCTTGCTGATACAATATGTTTGGTATTTGACAACATCGGTCTGACATATTTCCTCTTCCCAAGCCTTTTAATCCTGCTCACCCTCCTCGGTTCCCCCTTTTCCTTCATTTTTTCTAACTTCTCTTTCCTCCCCTCAATGTCAGCTTCAATAACTTTCTCTCTCTTTTCATCTGACAGCAGAGCCAATCTAGCAAATTTCTTTGGTCTCACTAGTCCAAGCTTCTCAGTTATCTCTTTAAACGCAGGAACGAGACCGCGTCTTAGGAAGCATCCATCGATGAGCTGCATTGAGTTTGATTTGGGGAGAGATGGGGCATCTTTCAACTCAAGGTCCAAGCAAAACGGGGAATCCTTTAACCACATCCTGAGGGAGTGTGCCTTTGCTACTAGAAGGCCGCTTCGTGTTTTGCAAGGCAGAAAAGGTGAACCCATCTCCCAAAGGCATGCCTTCAAGGTGCTATTAAGCGAAACCATGTTGTACTCAGATGTTCCCGTTATCAGGACAACTGATTTCGGAGACTCTGGATAACCCTCCAAGGATGCATCCTGCCATATGTTAAGGACCTCCGTGTAAGACACAGAAATGAAAGTGGAGATACAAAAGGGTAGATAGCAAAGAAAACTACTGGGGAAAAGAGAGAGTTGCCTGCATCTGATCAAGCCATAATGTAAGACCAACAAGAGCAGAACCAGCTGACAACTTTCTAAAATCAGCACCCCAGTCTTTGTCAGCTACCCTGCATTTAAAGGATTACTAGGTATAAGCTACCTGATGGAAATAATACCGAATAATAAGGCAAACACACATTTGTTTGTTGGTTAAGTTAGCCTTCACAATTTCGACCTACCAACACCTACCTGAACACATTATTGTTATAGATGCCTCTCTTTACGGATAATTGGAAAACCCACGAAGCAGTGGCTCGGAGTTCATATGCCCACAAAAGGTCCTCCAATGCGTTGACAAAGTTGAAGGCTGCATTGTCTTCTAGGGGTTCTAGTTTCTCTAGACAACAGTCTACTTCTGAAACTAGCAATTCAGGATTTTCGGTCACAAGCCTACAAGACAAAGATTTGTTTGGAAATGGATCAGCCAAAACAATAAAGCATGGAAGAAGAAGAAATTCTGTTTGTGAGCTTCAGTCTCTCTCCAACATGAGAACCAATAATTACCTGATAGGAAGATCAAATCCAACATCACGCAGTGCGTTTAGGAGAATAAAAGCTTCACTTCTTTGTTGAGACAAACTTGCAGCCCTTATAAAACAAGTCCAAATTCTATGATCTGGCACCAGACCGCCTTCCTTCATCTCGTTGAGCTTTTGAATTCCAATGTTATAATCTCCATTCTTCAGATAAGCACTAATAACTGAACTATATGGTAACGTATCAAGATCTATGCCAGTTACTTTCAAATTGTCAAGCACCTTTTCAGCTTCTTGAGGCTGTCCAGAGCTGCCATAAGAAACCATAAGCAAATGCATTGTGGCAGAGTTGGGTTCTATTCCAGCCTCTTTCATCATCGCCAACAGCATCTCAGCTTTGTCATGGTCTCCTGAATTTCTAAACATTTTCATCATGGTATGATAAAATGAGCGATCCAATTTACATCCATTTGACCTTAACTCTTCGAATAGTTCCTCAGCTTGATCCAACAACTTCTGCTTACCAAACGCTGAAATTAAGCTTTTGTAAGTATCCAACTTAGGTTCTAGCCCCTGCCTTCTCATTTCATGCATCAATGACAAACCTTCCTCTGGTCTACGATCTTTGCAGTACATTATGATTAAAGTATTATAAGTATCCTCATCTGGTTGAAGTGCAGCCTCTTTAATCCGCTGGTATACTTTAACTGTCCTTTTGAAATCTGCAATTCCTGCATATAACTTAAGCATAGAATTCCATATTGAGAGATCAGGCCTGAATCCTGCCTCTTCCATCTCAGAAACCATTGCTTCAACATCCATTACTCGTTTTCCCCTGCACAATAACTTGATCATAATCCTGAAACAATCCATGTTGGGAAAATAGCCTGCAGCCTTCATTCCTTGGTATATCTTCTTTACCTCAAATATGTTACCATCTCGAGCAAATGCTTCAAGTGTCAAGAGAATTGAACTCTTGCTTATTTTAAAACCCATATCTTGCAACTCCTCGATTAGAACATAGAGTTCGTCCAATCTCCCATCAACAACCAGAGCTTGCAAAAGACCATTAACAGAATCTACTGTTGGGGAAGGACCATCTCTCATCATTGTGTTAAATATCACTCTAGCTCGCTCATAGCAACCACTTGCAGCATAAGCATGTATCAAGGCATTCCAGACCTTCCTATCCACCGATTTACATCTTTGTCTGAGACTTCCCACCAAACATTCAGCTTTCTGCCACTGCTTCAATTTCCCATAGACTTCAATAACATCAACATATATGTTGACATTGTCAAATAAAATGCCCTTCGTCTCTGCCTGATCAATCAAATGATGCGCTGTCTCAGGGAAACCCATCTTACAATATATGAGCACCATAATTTGGTAAAGATGTTGAGAGGGGTCGACGCCATATAATCTCATGTCAGAATAAACCTGAGAAGCTTCACCAAAGAGTTCATTCTCTTGGCAGCCTTGAATAAGAATTTCATACATGGTAGGACTTCTACTAAAAGAATGGAATCCCCTGGTATTACTATATTCCACCAAGGCAGCATCAAATTCACGAGCCTTGCATTGTATGACAACCAGTGCTTCATTTATCAGTTGAGTGGAACCGGGAGCGTGTTCTCTAAAAAATTCAAGCAATTCACATGCTTCTGAGTGCCTTCCACATGAACTATACGAGCTGAGAATAGATAAAAGATTTTCCCGGTCCAGTTCATAGCCACTACTAATAGCTAACCTCAACATTCTGGCAGCTTGGTCATAGCATTCTCCCTTAACAAGAATAGAAGAGATAACTTGTGGGTTCATACCACCAACGTTTTCCATATCTCTGATCACTTTTTCAATGCCTTCCAATTTATTCTCTTTTCCAAGAACCCGCAGCATGACCCCATAGAGAATATTATCTGGCATGAAACCACCCTGCATCATTTCGTGATACAATGCCATTGCCTTCTTTGTATCATTGACCTTTAGATAGATATCCAACATAATGGAGTATGCCAGATGATCAGGTCTAATACCCGATCTAACCATGCAATCAAATGTCTCTTGAGCCTCCACCTGTTTACCAGCCTTGGCATATGCACACATCAAAGCACTATAAGTCCGAAGAGTGGGTTTCACTCCACTGTCCAACATCTCTGACATCACATTAGCGGCCTGTGTTATCTTATTTGCTTTTCCAAGTAAATCTATCAACACAGTGTAGGTAACAGCATCAGGAATCCGGCCTAGCATTTTCATGTCCCTGTAAACCTGAAATGCTAAATCATGCTGGCCCTGCTTTCCGTACATGTGGATGATGGTATTGTACGTCATCTCATCTTTACCAAACCCCATTTTCACCATATCTTCACCAATATCCCTTACTTTCTCTATATCAAGTTCTCTTGCAAAAGCATACAACAAAGAATTATATGTCACTGCATCTGGGAAAAACCCTTTCGACTCCAATTCCTTAAAGAGCTGCTCGGCTTTGCTTGACTCTCCACATCTCCCATACACCGAAATCATGGCATTATAAGTCCAAAGATCAGGTTGGCAATTATGTGCTTCCATGTCATTGTAAACATCCACTGCCTCCTTTAAATTAGATTCACGTGAACAGCCACTTATAAGAGTGTTATAAGTGATTATATCAGGCCTAAGACCCGCCCTTCTCACCTCATTCAAAAGTTCAATTCCCAAATTTGGTGTCATGGCACCTGACCTTAGCCGAGCATTGATCAAAGTATTGAGACTCACAAGGTCTGGTTCGCACCCTCTCTCACGCATTACATCGAGCAGTCCTTGGACCTTACTAAACCGACCATTTCGAGCATAAACACCCATCATTGCATTGTACACTTGGACTGTATTCCCAATTCCAGGTTCAGCCCTTTGAAATATCTCCACAGCCAATTCTTCTTGGTTAGCCTTTCCAAGAACAGCCAAGATAGTGGCAAGCATTCGAGCATTCGGGGAGTACCAATGGCGTAAATTCAACCATTCGTACACCTCCAATGCGCGCTGCCAGCTCGACTGGCCTACCCATTTCACCACAAAGCAAAAATCAGTCGGAGTCATTTGAACTCTCCTGTCATCCAACACATTGGCCACAAACTCGTCGGGTTTCAACCCCAAAATCCTATCAGTAAAAAGCTTCACTCTTTCCCGCCAATCTTTTGCTCTTTTGAGAGCAAGTTTCGTCATTTTCTTCGCCTTGGTTTTGCTCGGCCTCCCCAGCACTTGTTGGGTTTCGTCATTCGTCTCCTCCAAAGCTCCCACAGAACCCACATTCTGGTCTTCCTCTCCACCGTCAGCGGAATCGCCGACGACATGGTTCGGCGGAGGAGAAGCAACGGTGAATTGGGTCGGCGGTGAGGGGTAAGTTTCTGTGAGTTTCAAGTGGGGCCATCTGACTGATGGGGAGGCTCTGCTGTAGCTAAATTTCTGAGCGGTTTTGACGTTAGTTGTAGTAATAGAGTCAGACGGTGGCTCCACGGAAAATCTAGAAGTAGAATCGGTGGCAGACGGCGGCGTAGGTGTCAAGGAGCAAGAAATTAGAGAAGTTGGTTTGCTGCATACCTTGGAAATTGAAGGTGAGGAGGACATCGAGCTTGAATGCAGTAAGGGTGACGTGGTGACGGTCAGCACTCCTGAGAACGCCATGGCTGCTGTGGTTTAGACTGCAGCGTTATTCTTCTTCCATTGTTTTGTTTCCGTCGAATTTGAGAGGTTGCAGAGACGCAGCTCTGGTGCTCGCGTTTTTGGCTGGGAGGAAGAAGATGATGCTATCAGTCGTAGATATTTCTGTCTTGGATTGGGCCAACGATGTGATTGGGCTTTTCGGCTTTAAATGTTATATATAATGGCATGAGTTTGAATGCCGATGGGCTCGGAGCCTAAGAGTCCAAGACTTAGAGACCTACTTGACAGAGAGCTTCGCAGGCGACGGCCATGGCGGACGCCACCCACTTCGAGGTAGGCGACGAGGTGGAGGTCACCTCCCCAATCCACAACATGCGCGGCACCACATTCCCGGCGAAAATCGTCGCCAAGTCCAGAACGAAATCGAAATTCAAAGTCGAGTACAACAGAGTGAAGGCCCGGATCGATCGCAAGATCAGCGGCGGCCACAAGGGCGGCAAGGCGGCGCTGAGGGAAGAGGTCGACGCGGCTCTCCTCCGGCCTCCTCCGCCGCGACAGAGCGACTACCGGTTCAAATTGGGCGACGTGGTGGACGCCTTCTTTTGCGGCGGGTGGTGGGAGGGCGTCGTGGTCAGTGATGTTTTGGTGGACAACACGCTTGGGGTTTACTTCCGGTTCGCCAAGGAGAAGTTTGAGTTCGAGCCCGAGGAGCTGCGGCTTCACCGAGAGTGGGTAAAGGGGTCCTGGGTCCCACCTCTTCAACAAGGAGTAAGTAATTTTCTTCAATTTTTCTTACATTTTCTTGGTTTTGATTATTTGTGCTGTTTAACTGTTGCCAGTTAGGGATTAAAGACAGAACCTTTGTTCTTATGTGTGTTTTTCCAATGATTAAGGATGATTCGTAGTGACATGTTCCTAGTACTATTTATAGTCCCAGTGAAAGTTCAGATTCTAAAGATCCTGTTATGCTCTTCAGAGTAATGCATGTCCAAATTGGAAAAAGCATATCTAAGCTTTTTTTTCTTGTTAAACCGAGAGCAGTGATGTTTTAGAATTCATATATAGTCGACGCTACTTAGTGGAGATAAGACTTTGTTGTTATTGTTTTAAAGTGCAAACTCGTCAAAACTCGGACTGCAGGATGTCTTAGATGCCAAAGAACCAAAGACTGGGATGAATGAGGAATTGATAGAAGGAACAACGGTTGAGGTTTGCACTGATGAAGACGGATTTCAAGGCGCTTGGTTTGCTGCAAATATTGTCAAGGTAATGGAAAAGGACAAGTTTTTCATTCGATACAAGACAATAAAGACAGATGATAACAAGGAGTTGTTGACGGAAGAGGTCGATGCAAAGCACATAAGGCCTCGTCCTCCAAAAGTGGTTGCGGCTGAAAGTTTCAGTCTGACGGAAGACGTTGATGCTTTCTATAATGATGGCTGGTGGGAAGGTGTGATTCGCAAGGTCCTTCCCGGGCGAAGGTACAAAGTTTACTTCAAAGGTACAGATGATGAACTGATGTTTCAGCACTCTGATTTGAGGCCACGCCAAGATTGGATGGATAGAACATGGGTTATGGCTTCTCAGGTATAACTTCTAAACACTCTCCTTTATTGATGCAATTTTTAAGCATGTTCTTCCTCTGCAGATATTCGGATTATGAACTTACATTCTGTTAGTAACGGTGTATAGAGTGTTTTGACAATGAAACGCAAATTTGATAGAACACATGGAATGTAAGTAACAGAAAACGTAGAATCTGCCTAGAAGTTCTTGTGTAGCCAAAGTGTGTGAACACCCACAATCTAGACATGCCGAGTTTTGATAAATACTCAGCTGCATTGTTAAACCATTTCTGTGGTTGAAACTAATCAAATCCAGGTTATTTCATTACAGTTAGCCTTGCGGAGTATCGATGTCTCAGGATCTAAGACATGCTTAATATCTCATTTCTTTCCAAGTTTCAGCTAGGTTTTTAGGCAGTAGTAATTACTGCTGATGGAGATGAACTAATTTTATAACTCATTTCTATGTATATCCTTATATCGGCGTGCTATCAACAAATTTTTTCAGGCATTGAAGCATTGAGTTGTTATCGTGAAAGCATTCCATCGGGAGGTGGTGGACATTTTTTGTGGGGTTCTTGGCACGCCTGGTAGTAGACTCCAGAGCCTTCGTTGGATTTGATTGCAATTTCTTGTGTAGTTTTTGAAAGAGAGAACACTAACTTACCAGTGCGTTTTGCTGCTGAATCGTACGGAATTATTAGGAGTTTGCAGACAGATAATGATTTGTGATTCTTGTTTTGGTGGATATTATGATCTGGGATTGAACAATCTGATTTTGATGCGAATGAACAACAATTCAAGGGAACTTGTATCCAAATCATATGCTTTTAATCCGCATCGTTCGAAATCAAATGCAATCACAAATAACAAAATCCCAATATGGTATCAGAAATAACAAACTCTAAAATTGATGGGTTGAGCAAAATCCTTCCAAAATGAAACCCGACTCCAAGGGCGCATCAAGCTCTCTATTTTTCTTCTCTTCCTTGTCTGCCTCGGCTGCCTTCTTGAGCCTGGCACCAACGTGTCGATTTTGTTGATTGAATTTAAGAACATGAACCTGGCTCTGATACCACATGTTAACTCTTAAATCCCATGAAAGATTCAGTTGCTAGAATCACAATCAAACAAGACACAAAAACATCAACCCATATAATGACCAAAGCATGCTTACCTGAAGAACTTCCGTTGGATGCAGCCATGATCCAATTTTTACAACCTGTGAACGCAACAGCTCTTCTTCTCTCTATCTGGATACTTATTGCTCAAACTAAGAATAGAGCTCGGTACCTTGAGAGCATGAACGAGCGAGAGAAGAGATTGCCATATATATATACACACACACAAACACATATATATCCTTCTCATATTAGAATGTGGATTCCCTATTAGAATCCATGTGGAAAACAACTTAAATTATATATATAGTCCCAATTAGGGTCGGTCTAAACCACAACTCCTGCAGTCTCTCTCTCTCTCTCTCTTCCTCTCTCTCCATCCATCCAGACGAAACCATGGCCAGCGTGAATTAAAATCAAATTAAAATTCAAAATCAAGGCCAGTCTTGAGTTTTTGAGTGTCCGTGACTAAGGTTCAAAATGTTCCTCTTTTCGACACACCAACTTATTTATTCTTGTGGCTGCATGACGCATAGTCGATATAAGTTGACATCCCAATTCGTGATAAGACTGCTCCAAATTGTCAAGCACCTTTCCAGCCTTTTTTTTTTTCGGCGTATTTTGTTGCAGATACATGTGCAGTCATTTCATGTTAATAGTTTATGTTTCCCCGTTTTGGCCTTCTATAAATTTGGTCACTTCAAGGGGATTAGAAACTCGGTTCTTACATGTTTCTACTCTTTCATTTTTCCGACAAGCGATAAATGTAACTAAAAAAAATTTGCAACGGGTGGATTATGGCAATTTTCTTCAGTTTACAACGTTCCAGGTTCAAACAATAAGTTTAGTGAAGAACAACGTTCCGGGTTCAATTTTCTTCAATTTCTTGTGTAGTAGACTCCAGAGTCGTCGTTGGATTTGATTGCAATTTCTTGTGTAGTTTTTGAAAGAGAGAACGCTAACTTACCAGTGCCTTTTGTTGCTGAATCGTACGGAATTAGTAGGAGTTTGCAGACAGATAATGATTTGTGATTCTTGTTTTGGTGGATATTATGATCTGGGATTGAACAATCCGATTTTGATGTGAATGAACAATTCAAGGGAACTTGTATCCAAATCATATGCTTTCAATCCGAATCATTCGAAATCAAATGCAATCACAAATAACAAAATCCCAATATGGTATCAGAAACAAGGTTCTAAAAAACACTAAGCGCTAGTCGGGCGGTGCACAGGTGCCTAGCGCCTAGGCGGATTTATGTAAATTTATTATATATCTTGTAAATAAGTGCTTATTTACATTAAAAAAAACTATACTTGTATGATCCCCTTAAAAGTTCTCCAATCATTTCATAATTTGATGAACTTGTAGTCAATCCATCATTTACAAATTAGGTACATCATTTTCATAAGTATACCACTATAAAACTAAAAAAAACAAAAAAAACACACAATTTATTAAAAATTATATGAATATGCATATATATATGTGACTCTATTAAGTAAAAAAATAATAAATAATTATCCCAATAATTTATATAAATATATAACACACACATATATATGTATATAATGTATGTATATTCCAAGCTGTTTGAAATGATAAAAACCCCACGTAGAAGTAGTGGTTGGTTATTAAAGATTAAAAACCAAATAACATCCCATTCCTTCTTCAAAAAAAAAAAAAAAAAAAAAAAAATCCATTCCATCAGTGTTTCTGATGCCTGCACCCCAACTCTGTCACGCCATCCAAAATTTCCAATAAACCCCACGTAGAGGTAGTATGTGGTTATTATAGATTTAAAACCAAATAATATCACATCTCATCTGTGTTTCTGACCCCTCCACCCTAACTCTGTCACATCATCCAAGATTTCCAAAGCCCATATCATTATCACAAGTGGAACACTCTTCCCATCGAGTTTTTCCGTTTCTTTTCTTCTTCTTCTTCCTTTAGTCATAAGAACATCGAACTCGATCTCAAATCCAGATCGTGCTGCCATGGATTAATACCTTAAAAGTTAAGAGTTTCTCTCCTTTTGCATTCTCTCTTTCCTCTTCTACTCACAAACAGTGAGCTGCAGGATTGCAATCGAGGCTACGCTTTGAGATTGGGCGTTGCAGATCCTACGTAAGAGTTGCAGAGCCGCCTAGACAGCTACTAAGAAACGCCCAGACCGCCTAGCTAGCACCTAGGCAGCCGCTTAAATCTTCCCCGCCTTACATGAACGTTTTGGCCTAAATCGGTTCGAGACTCCTCCACCGAACGCCTAGGCGGCCGCCTAGACCCATTTTTAGAACATTAACCAGAAATAACAAACGCTAAAATTAATGGGTTGAAGAAGCAAATCAACAGATGAAAACCTAAAACGACTCCAAAGCTCTCTATTTCTTCTCTTCCTTGTCTGCCTCGGCTGTCTTCTTGAGCCTGGCACCAACGTGGCGTTTGTTCATCCTCTCCAAGCCAAGTTTGTCATATGCCTCGATTGATTTCAACTCGTCGGTAACCTTCACAAGCTCAACCGTAGGCTTATTCTCACGTGCAATTGGAAGGTCTAAAACTGTTTATCTTGTGTGGGTTGATGCAACTTTTGAACAAACAAACAAACAGTGAACGAAGAAGATATTCAGGCCGTCCTTGATGATATGCAAAGGTTTCAACTCCTAATCAAAGAGGGACGTTATTTTTGTGAAGTTTGTCTTTAAGGAATGCAACCACTTCGATTGCGATTGCCCCGACTTTGTTTTGATCCCAAGGGCGCTAAAATTGGCACTGGCTATGACATTGTTTGTGCCGACTGTTGCGAAGACCATAAGAACGACTCTGATGTTTGGTGGATATTATGATCTGGGATTGAACCATTTGATATTGATGTGAATGAACAATTCAAGGGGACTTGCATCCAAATCATATGCTTTTAATCCACATCATTCGAAATCAAATGCAAGCACAAATAACAAAACACCAATATGGTATCAGAAATAAACAGCAATGGAAGCATCTCTTTAACTTGGATTACTTAAGTTTACATGCTCTAAAATTGATGGGTTCTAGAAATAAATCCCGCAGTTAACAGACGAAAATCTAAAACAAAAATCCTTCCAAAATGAACCCTGACACCAAGTGCGCATCAAGCTCTCTATTTCTTCTCTTCCTTCTCTGCTTCCGCTGCCTTCTTGAGCCTGGCACCAATATGGCGTGTGTTCATCCTCTCCACGCGAAGTTTGTCATATGCCTTGAATGATTTCAACTCATCGGTAACCTTCACAAGCTCAACTGTGGGCTTCTCACGTGCAATTGGAAGGTAGGGGCCTTGGAGCTGGGTGGCATTGGCAATTTCCTCCGCAGGAGAATCACCAGCCTGTAGCAAAAAAACAAAAGGTACTTATGAAGATAAGATACCATGCACACTGAAAATCCACATTCTTAAACTTCTCTACATCAACCACTTAACATCACCTTGATATGCTTGGCGCGTCTTGGGAACCACTAATTTGGCCTTGTATGTCTTCAGACGCTGAACATTAGCTTGAAGACCCTCGAGAGAACGATTCTTCCTACGATGATCAACAGAAATTCCAATGGTTGGTGCAAGTTTCTTTGGAATCCCAGCAGACTGGTAAGCAAACAAGGTAAACAACTTGTTAAAATCATCACATAAAAGCTCACCTATTAGAACCAGAAGCTAAATAAAACACAAAAACTGATCTAAGAATTCCAAATTTAGGATCATGTTTATATTTTTATGGAATCTGGCGATCTGCAAATGTTTCGAAACTGAAAAACAATTGTATTTTATTTATCCTTATAACACTTCATCCTGTAATCAACTTCAATAAACTCGTACAATAAAAGCTGGATGAATTCCAACACTAATTCCAAAGCAAAATAGAGGAATGAAATGAAGCACTCTGTCAAAGATTTCCATAAAACTCGCATGCCATAATCGGAATCCATGAGTAAATAACACTAATTCCAAAAAGTTTTATCAACAACAAAAAGCGACCCCCGACTTACCTTCAATTCTTCAAGAGTAAAACCTCTACCAGCTCTCACTTTCATGTTGTACTTGAGAGTCTGTCCATGAACAATGGGACGCAGGGGCCCAGTGGTTGGACGAGGGAAGATTTTCACAGCCTTCTTCTGGCGAGCTGATGATATTTCAAAAGAGTCAAGTCAGTCAAATTACAAATGCTCATTTGTGAAATAAGCAGGATGAAGTGAGCGACAGTGTTTAGTACGGCGCACACAAAAGAGTAGACGTAAAGCTAAGAAACAAGAAACGTGGTGATAAACACGACTAGTGTAACTCACCAGTCCTCCTCCTGGTCTTCCTGGCAGGCTGGTTAAACCAGGTCTTGACATAGTTCTGCCAATGCTTCCTGAAGTGAGAGCTCGGGATAACATTGTTGTGCTTCACCATGGCTTACCTACAAGGAAACCGAATCGCATAATTCAGAAACACAAAATCCAGATTCCATTCATGTTAACTTCACTTAGAACTCCAAATGCACAACTCACACAACAAATAACGAATATCGAACGAAAAACACAAAAACAATCTTCTTCCTGAATCAATAACAAATAATTAAAAACCCTCAAAAATACGAACCATAGAGTTGAGAAAATGCAATACATTTGCTAGCAGAGACAGATTCCAACATACAATATTTATTCCAGTTGATTAAAAAACTCGGCGACCTAACCGATACAAAACCAAAATTAAGAAAAATCCACAACATATCAGAAGCAATAAAACCCTACAAATCTAAGCATTTGCAAATTCAAACACCTAAATCTTCGTTCGGCGGGTGAAAGACACATGAGACGAAGAAAGCAATGAAATTGGACACAATTAATCGAAGATTTCTAGAGAAAAATAGAGAGGGTAAGAGAAAGTAAGGATAACCAGAAATCGGCGTCGGCGTCGGCGTCGCGATGAAATGCTCTCTTGCTTCCTCCACTCGCGCAGCCCCAACTACTCTGCATGCAGCTAGGGTAAACTCGCGTGTCTTTAGTACTGGGCCGGGCGTTTTGGGCCTCGTATAGTAAGTAATTTTACTCATGCGGGCTACAACTGTTTATCTTTCAAAACGGGTTAGTTTTCTTGGGTTCCTGGGTCGGTTATACATATAGTCACAGTTAACTTAAGGTTGGTATAAACCCACAGCTCCTGCAGTCTCTTCCTCTCTCTCTCTCTCTCTCTCTCTCTCTCTTCCTCTCTCTCCATGGAATTAGGGTCCGGGAAGAGGCAGAGTCGAGGCACACTGGCGGAGCTAGGACGGGGCAAATCCGTGGAATCAGTGTCCACCCTACGTGATCTTTCCCCACATCTTGGGTGTCTCTTCTTTTCTCCTCAAATTCAACCTCAATAATCTCCGGCTCTGACTTTGACGAAGAAGGGCCTCCTCTACCGTCTCTTGAAAAGAAGTCTGATCTTGGCTGCCACACGGTGTTTCCACTGCCTAAGACCCGCCCTTCTCACTTCTCACTTCATTCAAAAGTTCAATTCCCAAATTTGGTGTCATGGCACCTGACTTGAGCCGAGCATTTATCAAAGTATTGAGACTCACAAGGACCGGTTCGCACCCTCTCACGCATTACATCGAGCAGTTCCTGGACCTTACTAAACCAACCATTTCGAGCATGAACACCCATCATGGCATTGTACACTTGGACGGTATTCCCAATTCCAGGTTCAGCCCTTTGAAATATCTCCACAGCCAATTCTTCTTGGTTCAGCCCTTTGAAATATCTTTTTTTTTTTTTTTCTTTGTTTTGATTATTTGTGCTGTTTAATTGTTGCCGGTTAGGTATTTGAGAATTTGAATGCAAAACAGAATCTTTGTTCTTATATGTTGTTTCAATGATTAAGGATGATTTGTGCTGTTTAATTTTGCCGGTTAGGGATTTGAGAATTTGAATTCAAGACAGAATCTTTGTTCTCATGTGGTGTTCCAATGATTAAGGATGATTTGTGCTGTTTAATTTTTCCGGTTTGGGATTTGAGAATTTAAATTCAAGACAGAATCTTTGTTCTTATGTGTTGTTCCAATGATTAAGGACGATTTGTGCTGTTTAATTGTTGCCGGTTAGGGATTTGAGAATTTGAATTCAAGACAAATTTTTTGTTCTTATGTGTTGTTCCAATGATTAAGGACGATTTGTGCTGTTTAATTGTAGCCGGTTAGGGATTTGAGAATTTGAATTCAAGACAGAATCTTTGTTATTATGTGTTGTTCCAATGATTAAGGATGATTTGTGCTGTTTAATTGTTGCCGGTTAGGGATTTGAGAATTTGAATTCAAGACAAATTTTTTATTCTTATGTGTTGTTCCAATGATTAAGGATGATTTGTAGTGACATCATGTTCCTAGTAATATTATAGTCACAAGGAATACTCAGATTCTAAGGATGGTGTTGTGCTGTTCTGACTGAATAATGCATGTCCAAATTGGAAAAAGTATATTTATGCTTCTTTTTCTTTGTTAAACTAGATTTATACAGGCGACTCCACTTAGTGGAATAAGGTTTTTTTGGTAAAAAGTGGGATACGGCTTTGTCGTTGTATGTTGTATGTTTTTTTCTTGTTCTATTTGACTTGTGCTGGAAATATGAGGATCCGTGATCAGCTGACATTATACAACACTAGTCAGGGAATAAGGAGAGAGAGCATATCCATTACACAGTAAAGCATGTTTAGTGCCAAATACCCTGGTTGCAGCTTAAATTTTGTTTTTGGGATAGGATAATATAACTGGTGTTTTGTGCTTCCAGTTTAGCTTCAATGGTAAATCAAATGGTGTCCTTAACGCAATTAAATGTAAGATTTGTTTGTTTGTTCGTGTAACCTCTCAATTTTTGTTTATCAGGAATTTTCATGCTTTTTGATATTGCCTTTCGAAACCATTTTGAATGAACTCGATCTGAAAATGGCCAGTTTCTTCTACAAAATGTGATTGTCGTGGATTTCTCTGTGATCGGGGAAGTTATGTCAATGGTCGGACAATAATCACATGTTGTCGAGACACAAAATTTCTGATGTCATGTTTATAGGTGAACACTTGCTTTTTTCTTTTTTTTTTCTTCTCATTATTTAGTTTAATTTTCTCTCTATTTTGTGGGTTTCTTGGGTCTTGATTTTAAGTGCTAACTCGTCAAAACTTGGACCGCAGGATGTCTTAGATGCCAAAGAACCAAACACTCCGATGAAAGAGGTACCAATAGAAGGAACACCTGTTGAGGTTTGCATTGATAAAGAAGGATTTCAAGGTGGTTGGTTTACTGCAAATATTGTCAAAGTATTGGAAATGAATGAGATTCTCATTTGATACAAGACGATAAGAACAGATGATAATAAGAAGTTCTTGATGGAAGTGGTCGATGCAAAGCAAATAAGGCCTTATCCTCCAAACCTAGTTTTGGCTGAAAGTTTCAGTGTAACACAAGAGGTTGATGTTTTCTATAATGGTTGCTGGTGGGAAGGTGTGATCCGCAACGTCCTTCACGGGCAAAGGTACAAAGTTTACATCAAAGGTACAAATGATGAACTGCTGTTTCAGCACTCTGATTTGAGGCCACGCCAAGATTGGATAGATGGAACATGGTTCATTGCTTCTCAGGTATAACCTCTAATTATTCTCTCTTATAGATGCAGTTTTTAAGCATGTTCTTCCTCTGTGGATTTTCCCGTTTTGAGCTTACAATCTGTTAGTCACAGTGTGTAGAATGTTTTGACAATGGAAAGCAAATTTGATAGAACACATGGACTGTAAGTTACAAACAGAAAAGTAGAATCTGCCTAGAAGTTTTTGTGTAGCCAAAGCACAATCGACATGCGGAGTTTTGATAAATAGTCAGCTGCATTGTTAAACCATTTCTGTGATTGAAACTAATCAAATCCAGATTATTTCATTACACTTTGTCCTACGGAGGTGTTAATGCCACATTTGAACTCGGGGCTAAATCATGCTTAATATTTCATTTATTTCCAAGTTCCCCATGGGTTTTTGGCAGTAGTAATTATTGCAGATGGAGATGGGGGAAACTAATTTTATATCTCATTTTTATGAAGATCCTCATACAGTTATACTGACTTGCTCATGCATAGCCGTATATGTGTAAGTGCTGTTCAAAATTTTGCTATGCTGTAAGTGCACAAACCAAATGAAGCAAAATGGGGGACCTTTCGTTTTTTCTTTCCATAGTTTAATGTTTTGCTCGTGATTTTGCTCTCGGTTGGGTTGGGTAAGGGCAGATTTTAATATGTAACCCGGTGTTTTATCACCGAAAAATCATTCCTGCACATCTTTTTTCCTCACCTGTTAGTATCTCATGTCACATGACAGGTGATATAATAATGAGGATATACACTGTGTGAGCTTGAGAGAGCTCTGGTTTTGTTTTTTCAATTAGATTTTAGGACCCAGAGGAAAGTGATTTTGGTTGGCCCGGTGTAGGTTAGCTGATTAGGACTTCCTATCTTTGTAGACCAACTAGGCCTAAAGCCTAAAGTTGACTGGGTTGTCTTGAGAAATCATTGTCTCAGTAAATTGGTTCGGTTCTTGGCTTTTAAATTTTTTTGCTTTGCTTTGCATCTTTGGTCCCACTGCAATTGCATCCTATTGGTTTTCCCTTGTTTTCTGTTTTCTTCCTTACCTTTAAATTTTATTACCTTTGAAGCTTGCTACTTGGGGCAGTGGTAGATTATTTTTTTAACTTTTTTCCCCTTTTCTTTTACCTTAATTGTCCGCCTTTGTTTTCCCCTGCTATGGAAAGTTGGAAAAATCTTGTCCTGGGTTACTGTTTGGATTTCTGAACCTGTATTATTTCAGTAAGTAGTAAGTGGATAGAAATGCTTGGAGAGATGGGGTGACAATTTACTTACTGAGAATACCTTAATATGCAGGCACCCAAAGTATATGCCGTCAAATATCACTACAAATCAAAGTATATGCAGGCACCCAAAATATATGTATATAAATATATATACATATATTTTTATCTCGTTTAACAGTGGCACACATCTCATCGAGAAAAATTGAGGTGCAGTCTTGTTGAGGCATATCATCGATTTTTCAATAAGTTCACAGCCGTTAACAAGAAGGTCGTCTTTGTAATATACAGGTGGAAGCAAATATCTGCAGACAATGTTTTGAAACATTGTCAATTAGACATCCATTGACAAAATTGAAGGACGAGTACGACATTCAACGCATAGTTTTCAAGAAACAACAATTAGTCATTGCCTTACTGAGAGAAGCGAAAAAGAAGGATTTACAACAAATTCATCAATTTACAAAATGTCACGAGTTAGAGTACTTTGACATTCAAGGGACCGAAAGCGTACAACGGGTTTATGTTGCAAGGATTTCCATAGAATTTTTGGAAAACCTATACGCTCACAATTTCATTAAGGGTGTAAAACTATAGCTTTCAATGTCAGTTTGATGTAGTATTGTAAGAATACTTTTATTAATATTTTGAGCCTGAGGTGGTCCACATGACATGGTTTATCTGTGGTTTTGTTTTATTAATCCACCGAATCAGATTAATAAAAGTATTCTTACAATACTACATCAAACTGTACTAACACTTAAAGCTATAATTTTACTTTACACCCTGAATCAAATTGTGAGCGTTTAGGTTTTCCAAAAATTCTTTGGAAATCCTTGCAACATAAACCCGTTGTACGCTTTCGGTCCTTGAATGTCAAAGTACTCTAACTCGTGACATTTTGTAAATTGATGAATTTGTTGTACATCCTCCTTTTTCGCTTCTCTCAGTAAGGCAATGACCCATTGTTGTTTCTTGAAAACTATGCGTTGAATGTAGTACTCGTCCTTCAATTTTGTCAATGGATGTCTAATTGACAATGTTTCAAAACATTGTCTGCAGATATTTGCTTCCACCTGTATATTACAAAGACGACCTTCTTGTTAACGGCTGTGAACTTATTGAAAAATCGATGATATGCCTCAACAAGACTGCACCTCAATTTTTCTCGATGAGATGTGTGTCACTGTTAAACGAGATAAAAATATATTTATATACATATATTTTGGATGGCTGCATATACTTTGAACTTATTGAAACGGCCTTCTTGTTAACAGCTGTGAACTTATTGAAAAATCGATGATACGCCCCTCAACAGCTGTCTCAGACTGCACCTCAATTTTTCTCGATGAGATTCAGCCCCGTTTGGTTACCCTTTAAATTGTGAACGACATAGTCATCAGAAGGTAGTAAAGCAAGTAAAAATGGTAGATTCTGTTGTTGTTCCACTACACCAGCAACAACAGTATTATCTTACAGGCATTTTCGTTGTTTAATATATGATAATTTTCATTTGATCGATCGCATACATTTATGTAAATGTGTACTTATAATTAATTCATCCAATGCCCCTCTTCTGCCTATATTAGGGTTTAAGGTATAACTTAAACACTTGCGTTAAGCGTTTTAGGCAAGAGAAGTTTTCACATTCACCGTTGCTATTTTCCGTAATCATTTGGTACAAGTTTTCTCTTATACCAGTGTCTAGCTGCATGACATGTACATATTAACGTTATAGCCAAATAGAGAAGTTGAATTCCAATGAACTATATATTTATTTTTGTTTTTGTTATGTTGTAATTTATTTCCTGACCTTGTGTAATAAAATTTCTTTTGTTTTGTTGTTGTAGGTCATCAAATAATTGGCAAGACAATCGAAGGCACAATATGGGAAGGAGGATCATAATATATACTTACAAAATGAATTGTATTATATTGTCATAAGCCTCGTCCCTCTTCTTTCATCTTAAGCGTGACTGCTTGAGGAAAGTACAATATACATGTCAGTGTTTTCTTTCAACCTTTCACTTGCAGCTAAACTAAAATGTGCAAGTGATAAGAAGTATGTGTAGTAGTAACTAAACTAAAAAATTAAATTAAATATATTTGACTCCTGCTTGAGGAAACAACTCCCTCTTGAGTTGTTTACTGAGATGCAGGAACAGGGGTTGTATCCTGATCCAAATATCTTTGTCACTGTTATTAGCCGATTAGGGGAGCATGGGAAGTGGGATATGATCCAGAAGACTATTGAGAATATGAAGTGCAGAGGGCATATGAAAAGTGGGATAATTTATGCTGTTTCGGTTGATATTTATGGGCAGTATGGAAAATTTCAGGATGCTCTAGAGTGCATATCTGCCCTAAAGGCGGAAGGTCTTATTCCTTCAGCCAGCATGTTTTGTGTCTTAGCAAATGCCTACGCTCAGCAGGTTTTCTGATACTCCCAACATTGTTTTCGTTTTATTTCATTATATCTTGAAATATATCCATATCTTTTGCATATTACAACGTCTGTATTCTTTTTAATGCAGGGATTATGTCATCAGACAGTTAAGGTGCTTCAGCTCATGGAAGCTGAGGGAATCGAACCAAACGTCATAATGCTGAATGTGCTGATCAATGCATTCAATGTTGCTGGTAGATATTTAGAGGCGTTATCCATTTATCACCATATAAAAGAAAGTGTAAGTCTTGTTTTTGCCCATATTGTTTTCTAGTTGGGCTGTTGGATATCTTGAATTTCTTCAAGCAATTCAGTTTCTGTGATACTTTCAAGCTAAATTTCTAATGGTGGTGCTTTTGTTGTCCATGAAGGGTTTTAGCCCTGATGTGGTTACTTATACTACCCTTATGAAGGCGTTTATTAGGGCAAGGAAGTTTGATAAGGTGCTACATATTCTTTAGGAAAATTAATCAAAATTCAAAAGGCCATCAAAAAATAATTTTATTCAAAAACTCTTAGACAAGTTTGTTTATCATTAAAGGCACCTTTTGTTATTATTAACGACACTTTCTTTATTGTTAAGGACATTTTTTTAATTCAAACCCTCATGGAGTGTGACTCCATTTTTGTTTTCGTGTCATTGTGATACAAAAAATGTCCTTAATAATAAGAAAAGTTGTCATGTTTCTTCGATTAAAAAAAAAAAGTTTTGTGAGGGACTCTTTAGTAGTTCTTTCCACTTGATTATTCAGTAACTTTAAAATCTCTAGTTTCCAACTCAAGAGAGTAGGAAGCTTGTTTTCTTTTCTAAATCTCTAAATATGCAAGCGGTTTCTTGATCAGGTCCCGGAGATATACAAGGAAATAGAACGGGCCAGATGCACTCCGGATAGAAGGGCTAGACAGATGTTACAAGTTGCTTTAATGGTCCTTCAACAGAGATATTGTGAGTAATAGTGAATAGATTGGGTTTTGATGCAATGTGCTTGTGCAGTTGGGTATGGACACAGCCTATGATCCTTTCAGCAGTCCAACTACTGTCACGATTTTTTTTTTCTTGTTCACTTTACGTCTCAGACTCCAAAAGACTCCTAGAATCCTAGTCGTATGGCTTTGTACCAGACTGAACTTGTTTTTGGTTTGTCAAATGCTTTCACAGGCCTTATGTGATGCCGGTCGCATAAACCTTCAAACCAGATGGGGTGTTGATTTTTACCACATTATAGTGCACAACTGATAATCTCAAGGGGTCGTACGGGAAGCAAGAGTACTCAGAGATAATGAAACCTGCTTCTGGTTTAGCAGTTGGAACATGGACAACACCGTGACTTGCAACACGAAAGCACTCACTTCGGACCTGAGAGGACGAGTCACTTTCATGAGCCTGGTTCCTATGAAGAGCATTGATTTGGAAGAATTGGCTTCAAAGTGCTGCAGCTCAAACAGTCCTTCCTCCCATACATGATACATTGAATGATTGGGAAAATTGGCGTTTCAAAGTGCCACTTTTCAGTCCTCCTGCCATTTCAGCAAAGATATATATTTTAGAGTCGACTCGTATAATCTCCACCATACCCATGTAATTATAGAAAATACTTGTTTAAACTCATCTTTTTTAATTATAATACTTATTTTACCTTAAAATGGGGGTAAGGCTAGCCGACATTCACCTCTCCCAGACCCTGCGTAAAGTGGGAGCTTGTGCACTGGGTACGACTTATTTTACCTTAAAATGTTTCAAGTTTTGACTAGCCTCTTGGCATGTGCTTACGCTCTTTTATAATATAATATAATTATTATTTATTAGTACTCTGGAATATGAGAAGTTGCTATGGAGAATTGGATGCGTCCTGCAAAATACCTTGGAATGCAATTTTACATCTCTTGTTAGGGTAGAAAGTTATCAAATTTTAATGGAAAGTGTTATTCACACATCAAGTTTTACTTTGAACATATCGTTGGATATTTTTTGCCATTGATTTTCTTCAATCAATTTAATCCAACGACTGAAAATTGAGCGGAGTGTGTGAGAAGTAAAAATGAGTGTGGATAACAATTTTTTTTTTTAACAAATGATATTAAAGGAAAGGGTAGGCTTAACCTCACAATGAGCTAGTAATAATGTGGTTCAAATTCATGTTTGGCGAAAATCGAATCTAAACCTCTCACTTGTAAATAAGTCATAAGAAATCACGAGCTGGTGGCCTAGTGGTGAAGGGTGAATTGCGAGGTTTTCTTCAAACAAAAAACTGGAGGCCTCAGGTTTGAAATCCGCTGCTAGTGTGGAAGCTAGACTTGTGGTCAAGGAAGGCTAAAATGTGTTTGTGAGTCTTTCCAGCCCTGGAAATGGCACCAGTTGTCCCTTTTATTTTTGAAAAAAAAAAAAGAAAAAAGTCATAGGTGATTTTCTTAAGTTAAAGGGCATATTATTATTATTATTATTTTTGTTAAAAAAAGGGTATTTTAATTTTTTTTTTTTTATTGGAGAATTTGACCAAAAGGTTGTAGGTGATAAAAAAAAAAAAAAGGGATGACGACGTATTCCCGGATAGAACTGTCGACAGAATAAAGGGGGTGCCAAATGATTCTCGTCTTCCAAAATTGTCGACAGAGTCTGTGAAGTTCCATCTCTCTCTCGGGCGACTGCTTTTATTTCTGCGGGATCGAAAATGGAGAAGGAGGCAAACGGCTCGTCTCCTTCAACCGAGTTAGGGATGGAGCCCACCGCCTCCGGCCCTTCCATCTGGGAGCAAATCGAGCTATCCGAGAGGTCAGTCAGTTGTTCTCTAGTGTTGGATTGGATTGGATTGGATTATTCTGTCTCCTCCGATTGTTTTTTGAACTGTGATGTGATTATTTTGCATGCTGCAGCTACCTTGTTTGCTCAATGTACGAGGAAGCAGCCTCATTAGCCTCCTCCATTCTGAAGCCTCTTTCACAACACAGTCAACACCTTGAAGCCGACGGCGACCGCTTCGAGCTCTACGACATGTCGGAATCGGCCGGTATGGTGCTTGTGCAATCCTTAAAACAACTTGGAAGGTATGTATCTTCAATTCATTTGTTCTTATAAATGTAGTAACTTCATTTTTTTGTGGGATTGATTGCTTGCACACACTGAAAGTTTACAAAACCACAATTTGGCCTCGGTAGGATTGGATTGGGATTGGAATCGACAACCCGCTATATTCAAGGTATATTGAATGTTTGATATTGTGGATGTGATTGGTTCTTGCAGGACCTCAGAAATTCTGAATGAGCTCAAACCATTGTTTGCCTCTGTTGCTACTATCCCTGTTCAAGTTCTTCTCACTGGGTACTCTCATCTGTGACTCAAGTTATTCTTTTGATTAACATTTCATATCGTTTGATTTTACGATTTCAACCATTGATGGACTTGGAAAAACCACTGTTCAGGGCGATGCTTACCGCTTCTCTTGGACCTATCCAAAAGTGTTTATTGTTTACATTGAAATTTTATTTGTTTGAAAAGGAGATCGATATAACTTTAAGAAAGTAATTATAACGGTGTCAAGTTAAAATGATTCCTGAAAATCCTCTTTATTTTTGTCCAACCGAGTTGAAAACCAAATTTATAGTTGTCTGCAAAAAGATCTCTAAGTTTGACCCATAACAACGCTTTTTTAACATGATTTTCGCATTGCTTTTATCCTTTTGCACTGAAAGAATCTTCGCAAAGCATAACTGGATTTTGCAGTTTCATTTTTGTGTCTTATTTTGTTTGTCAGGGTATGTTTTTATATATCAGAAGGGCATTCCCTTGGTATCCAAGAATTTCTGGAAGAGTTCCTTAGCAGCTGGAGTTTTGTGGATGAACAATACTATGTTCTTGCTAGTACAGAAAAATTTGCAGATAATGCAAAAAGAAGTGATGAGCATTTTGTTCTGGGAGTTGACAAGTATCTAGAAGTAGTTGAGGTCTATGTGTTGAAACTTCTGGGAACCGTTTTGAATGATGTCAAGCTTGCAACCTCTTGGGTCGAGACTGCTGAATTACCTGAGGATAGGAGACAGGTAACTACATCTATGTGCATCTTTTGTTAGACTCGGCACTGCGACAATTGATTGAGGTGGTCCTATTGTTTGTACTCTATGTCTATTAAATATAAACAAATTTCACTTTTTTTATCGTTACCCTATTCATCGTAAATTATGTCTGCCTCTTGAATGGCAAGCCGCACTCCTTATTAAGTACAAGTATGGCTGAGTCACTTATTGAAGAAGTTTCTTCCATGTGCTATGACGCTGTCCTCTAACTTATTTCTTTTCTTGAATTCTTGCCATAATGCTAATTCGTGTGAATATAACTTAGTTTAGAATGGTATGTTATGTTAATTGAAGTCATAGGTTAAAAGAATTGATACCAGTTCAGAGTCTTCCATGTCTTTCTAGGTACTTTTGAGAAGATTACACTCACTACATTCTGTTAAAGCCACAAACTCACCGCAAGGATCCCTGTCATCTTCACTGGAGGACAACTATGATGTGGAGCAGATAGCTGTGCCTGCCGGATATCCAAAATCCAGATATGGAGGAACTGTTAAGAAACAAACAGTTTTCAGTCTGTCCAAAAAGTTGGAACCATGTGTCTGGTGGTTCCGTACGATCACTCTGAAATTTGGTAGTGCTCGGGTGGTAATATCTAATGGAAAGATTGTCTCGGGATTCTTGATTTTGCTCATATATTATGTTCTGCGGAGAAAACAAGCTACCATAAAGAGGTGAGTGATACTATATAATCAACATGCATGTCTTCAATGCCCATGTCAAACTATTGATTCCATTCCCATAGTAATCATTTGAGATTTCGCAAAAATATATTTGTTCGTCACAGGACTATTCAGAGACAAGCTTTGACAATGAAGAATGCTCTGGTAGACTTGTGGCAGCTTGCATTTTCATACCAGGTGAATCCTTTAGCTGCTGTTCAACCTCTCGCCGCTGCAACACAAGGAGGCCGGTGATTCAGTTTTAGGCATTCTCCCTTGAATATTCGTTCTTTACTATAAAAACAAACTGCCAATAGCAGAGTTCTGTTGTGTGAAAGTGCAAGTAGTATGAACAAGTGAACTGCCAAAAGCAATGATAAAAATCTGGGTTGTTGATTGAGAAAACCTGTCTGTTGCATTTTGTTTTTGCTCATTTCTTTTGGTTGGTTTTTTATTTGGTCACAGGTAAATGAAATTGGAATAATCAAAGCCTAGTGATGAGAAGGTTGTGTACAGGGTTCGAAATTCTCCATTGTAACAAAGGAAACTAGTCGGAATCGTCAAACAAGTTACTGTATATCAATCAAAAATGAATTCACGCCCTATAATTTGAGTATAATGGTAACATCACGTAGCTGTATTTGAGTACACTAAACACATTAGTCGCACGTATTTCTGTTTGGACGGGGCTAACGATAAGATTGGGCTTTTTGTTGCAAATACTAAATGTGGGCTTGAGCATGAGTACCGGGGAAGTGGGCTGTGCGCCCAAGAGTCCAAGACACCTACTGATTACCAAAAATTATCTCCAATTATTTTATTGTTTTCCATACAAATCTCTTTCTTGATATGAGCTACCTAAAACCCTAATCAACCTGCACAAGTCATTCTTTTTAACGCAGAGGCGTGCCATCTTTACATGCTACGTACTTTCCAGACATAAGATTTAAAGCCTCCTCCGCCAGGCCATTTCTATTTTTTATACCAACAAGGTTCGTAAGCTTCTTGTTCCTCTCTTTGTTTAAGTTACTTGAATGAAATCTCCTTTTTTAAAAAAGAAGTCACCTTGAGCCAACAAGACTCTCCGTTTTTGAGAGGATTTTGGGGAACATCTGTGGTATACAACCTTATTTTACTTTGCAAATAAATTGTTTCCACGACTCAAACTGTGACCTTTCAATCATAAATGAGCAACATTTTTGTCGCGCCAAAGCTTGCCCTCGAAAAATCGTTTCTTATAAATAGAAAAAGTTAATTGAATTTTCGTTGATTACCTTTTTTTTCTTTCGCAATCATGTTAACCAATTGTTATTGTTGGTATTATCTCTAATTAAATTTGTTTTAATTTATTAAAGTAGTATATATATATATATATATATATAGGGTTTAAGATCATGCAGAGGACGAATAACAATGGCACAGCAGGATCAACACAACCAGCATGTGCAGCATGTAAACATCAAAGGAAAAAGTGTCATGCTGGTTGCATATTGGCACCGTATTTTCCTGCAGATAGAACTCGGGAATTCCTCGCCGTGCACAAAGTTTTCGGGGTCAGCAACGTAACAAAGATGGTGAAGAATGTCGAGGAACCCAATCGGAGAAAGGTCGCTGAATCGTTGGTATGGGAAGCTCTTTGTAGGCAAAAAGATCCAGTGCTCGGTGCGTATGGAGAGTATAGGATGGTTTCTGATGAGCTTAAAAGGTATAAGCAGCAGCAGAATCGTGAAAACCATATTGTTCCTTTACAAATGCAAAAGGGATTGTGTTTCAACAAATCCTTGTCGGATTTGGTGGGTAATTGGAATGGTGGAATCACTAATGTTAATAATTCGGGTTATCTTCGTGATAACGACGATGTTATACCGGATTCAGCCCCGTTTGGTTACCCTTTAAATTGTGAACAGCAGAGTC